TTTAGGGTTAGGTTTAGGGTTAGGTTTGTGGGGGGTAGGGTAAGGTTTTCGCTTTATTTTTACATTTTTCGATCACAGCGCGATGTTTTCGTAGCGTTGTGATGACGTCAAATGCGCGCTTTCGTTGAGCGTGATTTTGTACTCCGCGGTTTTGTGGTGGAACCAATAAAACAGCCTTTTAAAATTATAGAAAGCACTAAAACTAAAGCGGATGTGCTTATCTTTAAATCATTAAAGAGTAACAAGGAGCAATTTTCATGATATTAAGGGGCCTATTTAGTAAAAACAACAACAACCAGAATTCATCATTGATGTCAAATGCATCTGACCCACTGATGGCATGAGAGCATGGATGAACAATATAAGAGATGACTGACCTGCAAAATGTAATGCTTTATATAGCATCAAAAATCTTTTGAATGGGTTTTGGAAGGCAATTTTCAACGGTGGTAATGCCAGACTAGAAGACACCAGTTACATTTGGGCTAACTGCAATTTCTGAAATGTCTTCAGGGGCTGTCCCATCAAGAGACCATTACAATTGTCATGATGGAACTGGTTAGCACATAGATTTTTCTAAAGTTAATTAATTATCTGACTTTGTGGTTTCCAGCAAATTAGACATTGAAATTATTTTTTTCCTGATAAACTAACTTGGATTATTAGTCTTCTGACACTACATTAGATGACATCCCCTTCCTCCCATCTATAAACCTGATTCTTACGGAAAAATGTAATCCTATGCAGAACAGACTTATCTCTTGGATCTTTCAGTCTCTCAAATCAGTAGCTGTTTTGCCTTATCCATGGTTATTTTCAGCTGGTTCTTCCACATCCAGCACTTAATAGTCTAGGCTTTGGAGACACCCAGTCCCAAATTCAGAGAGAAGAAATATATTTGAATAGCATCAGCATACTGATGACAACTAGTTCCAAATCGCAAAGGAGCTTTTTTGGGGGATAGTTACATAGGAGTAGTCATATGGAATACAAAATAGTGCCATGTAAGATAGTTCTCAAAGAGTTGAACACAAATCTCCCCAGTTTTTAGCTTTGTTAGCAATATGCTAGCTTTTGGGGAGGATCATGTCTGAGAGTGCAACAGATCCATTGGAACAGATTCACTAAGAGAATCTCCACTGCAGCTGCTATAATCACTTAAGAGTATAGGTCCACTTACAACAGTTCATTTAGTGGCTGTTTAAAGTTACAACAGCATTGAAAAAAGTAACTTAAGACCATTTTTCACAGTTACGACCATTG